TGCATCACACTCTGGTGGGGGATGTTGATAATGGGGCAGGCTGTTCATGAATGGGGACAAGGATATAGGAAATATTCTATACTTCCCTTCCATTTTGAGATGAACCTAAAACCCAAGTGTCCCCTTGAGTTGATACAGAAACTCTGAACTGTCCTCTACAATCTCAAAATAAATAATTACTACTATAGTATTTGTAACTAATGAGATATTTCCCACTAACGTTCAGTTTCTACCTTTCTTCCTCACTATTTTTAAGAAAGCCCCTGAGAAATAAAATCTTCGGCTTAACTTTTTAATCTAGATCAAATGTGTTAGGCAAAATTTTAATATCTTACTGCTGCTTTATAGCATCAGCTCTAAATATACTCTGCTCGCAACAGCCAAGTCCAGAGCAACTAGGTCGGGAGTGGCAGAGACCAGACCCGGAGCAGCAACTGCCAGGCTGGGAGCGGCCAGGCCCGGAACAGCCGGGTCTGGTGTGGCCAGGCCCGGAGCAGTGGCTGCCAGGCTGGGAGCGGCCAGGCTGGGAGCAGCAGCTGCCAGGCTGGGAGCGGCCAGGCCCGGAGCAGCCGGGTCCGGTGCAGCCAGGCCTGGAGCAGCGGCTGCCAGGCTGGGTGCGTCCAGGCTTGGAGCAGCGGCTGCCAGGCTGGGAGCAGCCAGGCCCGGAGCGGCCGGGCCCGGAGCAATTGGGCCCAGAGCAGCCGAGTCGGGTGTGGCCAGGCCTGTAGCAGCAACAGCCAAGTCCAGAGCAACTGGGTCAGGAGCGGCAGTGACCAGACACGGAGCAGCTGGTTGTGGAACAAACAAGAGCAACAGAGGCCAGGCCCGGAGCAGCCTGGCCCAAAACAGCTCGCTCCTCACCTGCCCCTGCCCCACGACTGCCTCTCAGACATGGCTGGAAACTTTTGCGGGAACTTGAGGGTCTGCTGAATCAAGTGATGAAGGCTTATATCTGGATGTGTTGAGTTAATATAGTCCTGGGGTGTTGATCTGTGAGTGCCTTGGGTGGGGCCTGGATGAGGCTGGTTGTCCTATTAGGAAATGTCTTTTGTGTGAAGTGTATCATTGGGCATGTGGAGGTATTATTGATATGAGAAAATGCTAAGTAACAGATTTGCTATCTGAAAAGGGATTTACTATCGGGGAAAGGGAGGGAGGAAGAGACTGAACATAAACTGTGCACCAATGGATGAGGATGAGGGGGCAGAGGGTGGGGTGGGAACCTGGTGGAGGGGGGAAGAAACGAGGAACCTGTGTAATAATATGAATAAAGATTGATTTAAAAAAATAAATAAATAAATAAATAAATATACTCTGCTCAAGAAAATAAAACATTGCATATACTTTTGTAAAATATATATATATTTTATTGATTTTTTACAGAGAGGAAAGGAGAAAGATAGTTAGAAACATTGATGAGAAGAGAGTCATCGATCAGCTGCCTCTTGCACACCCCCCACTGGGGATGTGCCTGCAACCAAGGTACATGCCCTTGACCAGAATCGAACCCAGGACCCTTCAGTCCACAGGCCGATTTCTATCCACTGAGCCAAACCAGTTTCGGCTGCATATACTTTTAAAAAATGTATTTTTATTGATTTCAGAGAGGAAAGGAGAGGGAGAGAGAGAGAAATATCAATGATGAGAGAGAATCACTGATCGCTGCCTCCTACACACCCCACACTGGGGATCGATCGAGCCTGCTACCTGGGCATGTGCCCTAACTGGGAATTGGTCAGAAGCTCAATCACTAAGCAACACTTGCTGGGCTAAAGAAACCAATTTTACCATAGGCTAAATCATATAAATAAGAGTTTAGTTCCTGCAGTATCTCATCAGCATTGTAACAAAGATACACTGAATGTAATAGCATTTTATATTACCTTAGCTCCAAGTTATCTTTCTGATCTAAAACTCTTTAAGGTGATAGAATTGCTTTAGTTATAATTCTCTTAATAGGTTTTCAACTCATCCTAAGTTTATCTTCATTTTCACATATAAATGTTATAGATCTAAAAACAGCCAAATGTAGAAAGTTAATTTTATCATGCAAATAGCAAAACAAATCCACCAAATCTGTGTGCTTCTAGACCACATCCTCATACATTTATATCCCATTTTATTTCCAAAGAGGCAGTGCCAATTACACTTCATTCAAAATCAAAATAACTTCTATACAAAAGCCACTAATAACTTAGATGAATGTACTGCTACATTTATTATCAAAAGTTAACAACAATTACTCCCTCCAGAGATGGAGTGTAATTCTTCCAGCTCCCTAGAGTGTCAGCTTATCTACACACTTAGTGACTAGCTTCCAAAGAATAAAACACAGAGGAAAAAACTAACTTACCGTGGAGAAACCTGGCAAGCACCACGTGTGTCAAGGTTACCGTTACCTGTGCAGTCATGAGGGGGCACTTCCCCTCTGTGGTATTCTGTCCAAATACTCACAATGAATTTGGCCATATCTTGAAATCTTACTATGATGTCTAATCATGGGGGCAGAGGGGAGACCACATAAACAGAAATTGAAGAGCATTCCAAAAAAATACCTGACCAGTACTGCAAAACAATCAAGGTGATGTAAAACAGTGAAGGAGTGAGAAACTCAGACTAAGGAGACATGACAACTATATATTGTATAACGTGGCATCCTGGACTGAATCCTGGAACAGAAAAGAACATTCATGGAAAAACTGGTGAAATCTGAATAAAGCCTGGAATTTAATATACCAACACCGGTTTCTTAGTTTTGACAATATAAAATTATAACACAGAGGTAATTTCTGTATTATCTTCACAATTCTTCTGTAAATCTAAATAAAAAGTTTATCTAAAAAAAGTCAAAAGCTAACAAACATTAAGGCAAAAACAATAGAAAATGAGAAACGTCACTTACACCCAAGCTTTCTTTCATAAAATCATCCCAACTTTTAAAAAATTAAGCATCGAAAGTTTTTATACAAGCTTAGCTATGTTGAGGCTAATAATTAAAGATATTAAAACACGAAGCAAAACTGATCCACTATAGGCACTCAGAGCTTAAATATCAATAAAAATGTTGGCACCTAAATTTTCTGCAAATATATATATTTAAGATATCTGGAGAGTATTAAAAAGCATAATGGGCCCTAACCAGTTTTGCTCAGAGGATAGAGCCTGTGGACTGAAGGGTACCAGGTTCGATTCTGGTCAAAGGCTTGTACCTTGGTGTGGGCACATTCCAGTGGGAGGTGTGCAGGAGGCAGCAGGTCGATGTTTCTCTCTCATTGATGTTTCTAACTTTCTGTCACTCTCCCTTCTTCTCTGTAAAAAAATCAATAAAATATATATATTTTTAAAAAAGCATAATGGTAAAATATTTAAATGCTTAAATACAGAACTGTTTCAAACTCTGACAGGATCCTATCCTGGCTCTGAGAATATTATTTTACTCCCATTCCCTAATTTACCTTTTAAAAAAACAAAATATATGCTGAAACCAGTTTGGCTCAGTGGATAGAGTGTCAGCCTGCGGACTGAAAGGTCCCGGGTTTGATTCCGGTCAAGGACATGTACCTTTGTTGCGGGCACATCCCCAGTAGGGAGTATGCAGGAGGCAGCTGGTCGATGTTTCTCTCTCATCGATGTTTCTAACTCTCTATCTCTCTAACTCTCCCTTCCTCTCTGTAAAAAATCAATAAAATATATTTTAAAAAATAAAAATAAATAAATAAATAAATAACAAAATATAGCCCTAGCTGGTTTGCTCAGTGGGTAGAGCGTTGGCCTGAGGACCAAGGGGTCCCGGGTTCGATTCTGGTCAAGGACACATACCTTAGTTGCAGGCTACTTCCCGGGCCCTGGGGCTCATGCAGAGGCAACCAACTGATGTGTTCCTCTCACATCAATGTTTCTGTCTTTCCCTCTCTCTTCCACTCTCCCTAAAAATCAATGGGAAAATATCCTTGGATGAAGATTTAAAAAAATAAATAAATAAATATATATATCATTCAGGTAATTAAATATATAAAATTTTGAAAGGATCAGCATGCTGCCATTCTAGTCTGATAAAAGCTTCTATAAATCAGGCACTCTGACGGTCTTATTTTATTTTTGAAATTGACAGGGCACATACAACTCAGAGAATACTAAAGTATGCCCTGGCCAATTGGCATGTGCGGGAGTCAACCAATAGATATGTCTCTCTCACATCAATGTTTCTGTCTCTCCACCCTTCCATTCTCTCTAAAAATCAATGGACAAATATCCTCAGGGGAGAATTAACAACACAAAAAAAGAGTTAAAAAAGAATACAAAACACAATGCCATGTAATCTACTGTTGTACAGAGATATCAGAACATTTAAATAAAAACTTACTAAGCCGAAACCAGTTTGGCTCAGTGGATAGAGCGTTGGCCTGCAGACTAAAGTGTCCCTGGTTCAATTCCCGTCAAGGGCATGTTCCTTGGTTATGGGCACATCCCCAGTAGGGGGTGTGCAAGAGGCAGTTGATCGATGTTTCTATCCTTCCTCTCTGTAAAAAACTCAATAAAATACAACCAAAGGATGTATGTACACACATAGAGCCTAACCAGTGGTCAAGGACAACAGGGGGGCGGGGGCATTAATAGGAGGGAAGATTGGAATGGGGGAGTGAGGACAAATATGTGATACCTTAATCAATAAAGAAAATTTTAAAAAATCAATAAAATATAAAAATAAAAAAAACTACTAAGATATTTTGTTTTATTTATGAATCTTGAATTCATAAACAAGATTAACTGAGGCATTAGGCTATACTGTTTTAATTATATTTTTCACATAATAACAGTGACCAATAAGTGGTGAAACTGACTTTATAATCCTATCTAATAAAAGAGTAAGATGCAAAGGGGCCAAAACTCAATGCCGGGAATGAGCTCCGGTGGGGACAGGGGACTGACTACTATTCCCTCTCACCTTGTCTGAAGAGCACAGGAAGATACTGGGTGATAGAGATCTCTAGACTTCCTACCTTGAGGACTTAAAGAAAATAGTTAGTAGCTTTTGATCTCAGGAACACTGACTAGACTGTATATAATATTAGCTTACAAATTCTTCATAGACAAAGAGAGACCAGTGCCTTTAAAATATAAGAACACAAAATTCAGGTGCCATGTTCCAGTGTGCCTGACTTCACTAAAAATTAAAGCAAATCTAAGGCACAGCCTAGTTTTATATTCAGGAAGTATATAGCAAAATTGTAAACTACTATACATTTTCAGCATAAATAAGTATAAGTTTGATAAACAATTGCCTAGCTGCACAAAGTGAAATAAGCCAAGTATTCTCTGATTTTCAAACTCCTAGAAAAAAATGACCTGGCTTCACTACTACTTTTAATAACCTTGCATGTAAGATAATGTAAAGGATCTGGAAATACCTTCTCCCTAGAGGTTTATTTACATATTTTCCTCCCAGTGAATTTAACTGTCTTGCGTGATTTCTAGAAATTAGTCAAAATATAAGCTAGGAACACTAATAGAAAACAGACATATACATTTGAAATACTATATGAAATGATAAATATAGGCTTTATAAGCCACCAATAGTCTTCTTGATTTATCATGGTTTACATGTTACAAAATTCCTAGCTAAATCTCAAAGGAGAGCCACATTAATTAAAGACAGAAAGAATCTGGTACCTAACTATTCTAACCTAAGAGCTTACAGAAAAAAAGATAAAAGCAAATGTGTTCACAAAAGCATGAATGACTCAATACAGGTATACTTAAATATATGTCATTTGATAATCAAAGACAGCATTCAAGAACTGCTTTTCTTTACTGCCAGGAAAAAAATGGGCAGCCATCCAGATAATTAGACTAAAGAACACACTCAAAAGTCTACTTCCTCTCCTCCTTCCACTTACAAAACAAATTTGACTTAAAAAAAAAAAAAAAGTTTTGTTTTTAATCCCTAAGGATACAAATGAATTGAAAGACAAAATACAGGTCCCCCCCTCCCCCCCATATCAAGAAGGTAGCTATGGCGAATTGAATGAATTACTTGGTAAAACTAACAGTTGCTAATAAAGTCAAACTGTGTTGCCAAGATCAATGATTCTGTTATTAAACATGTATTATGTTCTACATTTTAATATACTTACTTAAATATATTCTAAAGCTACATTGAGATCAGCCACCAAGTTAAGAGAGCTAAAACTCCTTTACTCAGAAAAAGCCTCAAGCATTTAAAATGCATTTCCCTCCTATGCTCATCCATTTGAATGTAAACATAATTTGTAATAAAAATCTAAAATACCTAAGACCAAAAAAAAAAATATCTAAGACCTACAAAAAAATATCTAAGACTTTCATTGTAAGAGTTTGGATCAGTGATCTAACCAAGTACAGTAGTTCACCACTCCACCTCCTTATGCAGTTTCCCTTTCCGTGGTTTCAGTTATTCATGGTCAAAGTAATAAATGGAAAATTCTAGAAATAATCCATAAATTTTAAATAGCATGCCTTTCCGAGTAGCATGACAAAATCTCATGAAGTCACGCTCCATCCCACCCTAGGTGTGAATCATCCCTTTGTCCAGCATATCCCCGCTGTCCACACTACCTACCCACTAGTCATTCAGAGGCCATCTTAGTTATTAGATCTATTGTTAAGGTACTGCAGTGCTTGGGTTCAAGTAACCCTTATGTTACTAATAATGAATGCCCCTAAGCACAAGAGTAGTGATGCTGGCAATTCAGATAAGCCAAAGAGAAGCTGTTAAGGGTATGTATGCAGAGGCAAAAACATGGTATATGTAGGGGTCAGTACTATCTGCAGTTTTAGGCATCCAGTGGGAGTCTTAGAACATACACCCTGCTGATAAGGGGGGGACGACTGTACCAGTTGAAGGTTGTGGGACCCAAAAGCTGTACATAAGGTACCATTTGTTAATAATAATAACTTTTGCCGAAACCTGTTTGGCTCAGTGGTCGAGCGGCGGTCTGCGGACTGAATGGTCCCAGGTTCGATTCCGATCAAGGGTATGTATTATACATTGGTTGTGGGCACATCCCCAGTAGGGGGTGTGCAAGAGGCAGCTAGTGGATGTTTCTCTCTCATCGGCGTTTCTAGCTCTCTCTCTCTCCCTTCCTCCCTGTAAAAAAAAATCAATAAAAAATATATTAAAAAATAATAATAACTTTTTTTAATCCAGTTTCTTTTCCTATGGAGTAAAATAAAAAAGGTTATGTAGTTTCAAAGCTTTGTTGCTAAATTAGGAGATTTACTCATATATTCACAGATTTAGATAAATAGCAAAAGAGCAGAGATGCAGTACTCTCTAATGCCATAAAACAAATCTAACACCTTGTGATCTCTTATAAACATGATTCCTATCAAATCGACCTTCTACAGACAGGCACTACAATGAAAATGTTTATCTGCATTTTTTTTAATTTTTAAAATTAATCTTTCAAAAATTATCTATGTAATATAAAGTCAACTGATTGAAAGCACTATCCAGATAACTAAAGTTATATTGGCACCATTTAAACAAAACAACTACATTTATTTTCACTAATATAAATAGTCATCCAATTGCTTCTAAGGTAACACAAACCAGGCACATCCTGTATCTAATTTTTTCTATTTATATTACCTCAGCTAAGAGTTTATAATCCAAGAAACCTTGAACCCCAGCCGGATATCTCAGATGGTTAGAGCATCGTCCTGATATACAAGGTTACAGATTTGAACCCCAATCAGGGCACATACAAGAATCAACTAGTGAATATATTATATCATTATCAATAAGTGGAACAAATCAATGTTTCTCTCTCTCTAAAAATCAATAAAATAAAAACTGAAAAGAAAGAAGTATAAAAGTATCCCTAATTTGAAGATCACCATTATCACAAAAAAACAAAGTTTCAACAAAGAGATCAGAACTCATCTTTCATCACGCTATCAGGCTGACTGCTTCAGTGCTAAAATAACACCAACAAAAACACAACAGAATAAAACAAAAGCCCCAAAATATTTAATTAAATATTTTAATTTAAATGTTTACCTTCTTTGATATAGAATACCATTTCAGGAAAATAGAAATAATCTATTTTATTTAAATTAAAAAAAGATTTAAGCACAAAAGATTAATTTCAATCTTATTTATCACAGAAAAATGACAAAGAAGTATACCAATGAATGTCATATCAGTTATTCATTATGTCTGATATTTTTAACTATGAAAAATAACTGCATAAATATTAAGCAAAAATGGCACACACAGTATAAGCAACAGGTTGAAAAATATATTCTGGTGGGGTGTGTGTGTGTGTGTGTGTGTATAAGGATGATGAAAAAAATCATCATAATGGTCAATGGGGGGAAAAAATCATCATAATGTTAACATTTAAGGACAACAGTTATTACATTGTGGTCCCTACACCAGCAGCAATGAACTTGTTAGAAATGCAAGTTGCCCTAGACGGTTTTGCTCAGTGGATAGAGCGTGGCCTGCAAACTGAAAGGTCCAGGGTTCGATTCTAGTCAAGGGCACAGGCCCAGGTTGCGGACTCGATCCCCAGTGGGGGGCATACAGGAGGCAGCCAATCAATGATTCTCTTTCAATGATGAAACATCATTGATGTTTCTATCTCTCCTTCCCTCTCCCTTCCTCTCTAAAATCAATAAATATATATATATATAGTTGAGAGAGAGAGAGAGAGAGAGAGAGAGAGAGAGAGAGAGAGAAATGTTCCCCTAACCTGTTTGGCTCAGTAGATAAGAGCATCGACCTGCAGACTGAAGGGTCCCAGGTTCAAGTCTGGTCAAGGGCATGTACCTTGGTTATAGGCACACAGGAGGTGTGCAGGAGACAGCTGATCGATTTTTCTATCCTTCTCCCTTCTTCTCTGTAAAAAATCAATAAAACATATTTTGTTTTAAAAAGAGAAATGCAAGTTATCAGGCCACACTACAGACCAGTGAATAGGACAATTCCAGGGGCAGGACTCAGCAACCTATTTTAACAAACCTCCAGAAAATTGAAAACCACTAACTAAAGGGTAGAATTATGGGTAAGTATTTTCTTTCCCTTTTTGTAACCTACATTTTCCGCAATTATTTTAGTACTTGTATAACCCAACTAAGTCTTTTCCATTAAGGTTTTATTAAAATGTACATTGTGGGTCTATAGTTGAAAACCTGTTGTGCCATACAGGTTTCTCAGTGGTTAGACCAAAGGGTGGAGGGTTCAATTCCCAGTCAAGGACACGTACTTCAGGAGCAGGCTCAACCCCCCACCCTGTGGCCCCAGTCAGGGCAAGTAAGGGAGGTAACCGATCCATGTGTCTCACATAAATGTTTCTCTCTCCTTCCCTCCCCTTCTCCTTCCTCCCCTCCCCTTCTCCTTCCTCCCCTCCCCTTTCCTTCCTCCCCTCCACCTTTCTAAAAAAAAAGAAAAGAAAAGCTGTTTTGCAGGTCTGAATTATATACATAAAAATCAAATGATTCTTGGAACCATTAAATCTGTTAAGACTGAAGAAGATACTAAAATATAAACACTATATAAATGTAGGTCAAGGTGCTGGGGAAATTACACACTAGGAAACCAACAAATCCATGGTTTTCTAACACATGTACACAACAAGGGTAAGGGACTTTTACAGGTCACACGTGCAAAAGATCTCCCCCTCCCCCAAAAGCTGACTATTTAGGCTTGCATGTAATTTACTAGAACTGCACTGCAGGAATCAGACGTCTTGAAGCTGTAAATGCTTACTCATGTAGGTACCTGATTAACCCAAGTAAGTAGTAGTATGTTACATCTGCCACCAAATCTAGGCAGTGAAGACAAATTCAGAACACTGGAAGTTGCCAAAGCCTTAACTTTGAGCTTAAAGACCATTAAACTGTTCTACCTTCCACCTCATCATCTCACTAACATAGAGGCCAAAGGAAATAAAAGGCAAAACACAAGTTCCCAACTGACACTGGAGCTAGTTAAAATATTACATAATTGTCTACACTTTGAGCACAAATCAAAGAGTAACAAAGATTACTAACTTAGGAATAGAATAACTACTGATTAACAGCAAAATACTGACGTTGATGTCCAAGACATATGACTACACATTTTAATGTTTGTTAATTCCATTTTTTTACATCTATCTTTTAAATAACAGGAACAGATTACCATACATCCCATCACATAAATTCACATTTTAACCTTTCCATTCCTTGAAAAGTAAATCCTGAAATTAAATACAAATTATTCAGAAGAGAGATATATACAGTGCTAACCTTAAAAAAAAAAAAAAAAAAAAAGTTTGACTTGTTACAGAAGCGTCATGACTATCCACACTGAATTTTTCCCTACTAAATTACCCCAGCAACCTTACATCAAACCTGGCATCAAGGGGTAACTCAAACATGTGAGGGGATGAACTGTTATTAAAAGCTTTTGAATCCTAAAGCAGACAGCCAGGACTCACTAACACTGTTAATGAATTTAGTGTAAGTCACTGCCCCTTTCTAGGGGCACTTTTGCAGGGGAAGCTGACATTTCTACCATACTTTTAAATCTCTGCGTGAGTCAGTGAAGTATACTTAAAGTAGCAACATATCCTGTTTTAAACTTCTGCGCTCCCTCTGAAAATTCTTGGTATTATAAAATAAGTTCCAAAATCTCAGTTAACAAGTACAGTATATGCCAAATTCCCATCATCATCACATTTACTTTTCTGATTTAACCTTGAACATTTCTTCCACTCTATCAGGGTAGACTTTCCTCTCTTCCTTTTAAACCTTGAAAATGCACTTCATCCTGTAACACCACGCACAAGAACTCCCCAGCCCCAACTTCTTTTGCATGTAAACACTCTTCTGGCCACACACCCCATCAGCTGTTTGGTGGAAGCTCCGCCCCTCCGCCGTTTCCGGGTAGTAACAGCGCAGCCAATGAGCGGTGAGGAGCTGTGCCTGCGGCCTTTCGCCTGCAAACGCTTTTCCAAAACAAGTAGCTCCAGCCTTCAGCAGGGGCCACTGGTTCACAGATAAAAGGATCACCAGGCTGTGCAACAGGGTGAGCCGTCTAACCCCACCAACAAGGAAACCCGTGTAATCTGAGCTGTTTGTTCCTCCACCAGGGAGAATTTAAACTGATATTCCTTTAGGGCAAATCACGATTTAAGGTCACCAGAGTCCCAGTTCTCAGACAATCTAAATAACCAGCAGGGTTTGAGCTGGAAACCGCAAAGGTTGCCAAACTGGAAACAGCACAGGATTACTGATCTACCTGACTTTGCAGACAAACGGCCACACTATTCACAGCCATGCCACAGGATTTGGGCTAACTGCAAGTTTCTTGATCAGGACATGTTCTTAACAAGGCCCAAAAGTCATGTATGTACATCAGCTTCTAGGCTCCCGGAGAGGTTTGCACAACACTCAGCAAAGGATCAGAAGAGAAACAATGAATGAGTCAGAGTTTCAGAACATAATCGCCCAGAATCGGTGCAAAACACTCACTCCCTGCATAACTTGGGAGTCAGTTCTCCTACCAAAGCCCGGCTCTATAAGCCACCAGAATCTGTGTCTCCCAGCGAGGTGGTGGGAGGCAGGGGCCAATTTGTTACACATCCTCTTCCCTCCCTACCCCCACACACCACTACTTTCCTATTATACGGGTTCCCTACGAGGCTGTAAATCGTGATGGCATAATTACACTCAGGAGACATCCAAAAATGGGCTGAAACAGGAGATTGCAATGAAACCAGTTATCAGCCTCCACACCAGAGAAATCATCAAGGGACACTGAGGGGCAAAAAGCAAGCACATACATTCCTTCAGACCTTTTCTACTTCCTCTCCTCTATCTTTCATTTTCAACCCCGGGCCCTTTTACACGATTGTACTCATTTTCATAGTGGGTTGGGCAATTTTTTCCCTTACATTTTTTTGCTAATTATACCATGCTCCAAAACTGCTGGCTCCATTTGGGCCTACTAATGTGAATTCAACAGAGAAAGGAGGCCACAAAATCACCCAACCCCACAAGACACACACACACACACACACACACACACACACACAAAAGGAAACAACGAGAAATTTAACTTCCAAACTATGTGAGCCCAGAAAATAATAAACACAAAACAAAGGTAACCTCTGCCTTTTAAATCCCCAGACGGTTGTCCTATCTCAGAGATCTATGATTTTAAAGCGCCTCAGCTTTCTTTTGTCAGAAAGGAGGAAGGTGGGGAAAGAACAGAAGGCCAGTGCATCTTAGCCTTTCTTCATCTTCTACTAAAAATAAGCTATGAAACAAGCCACTTATGGGGAAGAAAAAAAGAAAGACACCCTGCTGTTCTTTGTCTGTTTTCCTCTCCCTCTCCGCCCCCCACACCCCGACTCCTAAACGCGGTAATCATTCTAGATGCCACAACTACTAAATGAACAAAAGGCACTGTATGGAAAAGGCATCAGGTCAAGTTAGGCCTCACCCTCTACCCTCAGTCTTCTAAAAATATATATGTATATAATTTGAGAATCTGACACTGATCAAAACCAGCTGGCATTCTCTCACCCACCCCCATCCCAATTAAACATTAGGTAGAAATTTACATTAGGTGTGACAGTAACTCTCAAGTCAGGATAAAAATAACTCAGAATCTGCCACCATGTCATTTCCTAGTTTCTAAACAAAACAAAACAAAAAACACCCGGAAAACTGCTTTGTGTGAAATGTACACACTGCCATAGTTACAAGTTTTCTTGAAACCTTATGAAAAGCCAACATTACTGGTATCATTCACACATTTACAAAACTCAATCAGAGCCACAAATGTCACTTAATGCCTGGAAATATGTTTGGTACGTAATGTGTACTTTTATTACTTGCTCCTGTCTCTAATCTCCACTCCCACCTCCCCCAAATTCCAAAGTTGAAACCCTAAAACTTAGAAGTCTATCTGTTTCTAATTTCTAGCCACGTTTTCCTAAGTGAGAAGATAAACACCTTCTTATTCCTGAAAAGATTACGGAAAGAAAAATCTCTTCCCCAGACAACTTCCCTCCCATCCCCCCCGCTTCCAAAACTAAATGCAATAAACTACTTGTTTAAAACTTTAGCGAATTCCATAACTTAGCACTTGACAACAATCATCGATCGCTACACGGAGGTAAAATGTCCAATCAAAAACAGTAACAAAGGAAAAGAAGGAATTCACCTGAACAATCTAGCCAAACTTGAGTTATATAAACAAAAACCCTGCAACAGGGGGAAATGGTAGGGGATGGGGGTGAGAGAGAATCAGCAGCAGGAGACAGGACTTTTTAACTGTTTCACACACTAACACTTCCCACCCCCGTTTCCCCCCTCTCCCCAGCGATTCGTTGTTCAGAAAACTGGGCTCATTTCCTCCCCCCTCCCCCCAACCTCTAAATTAACCCCTCAAAAATGTTCTCGATTTATCACAGGAACCTTCGCGACTTTCCCTAGTTGTCATGAAATAATCAGTCTGGACTCCAACCAAAACCACTGCCTGAAGGTCTCTTTATCAGCTACAGCTTTCCCACTGCTCTACCTCCAGAGTATAGGAAGTTGGAGGGAGGGGGAACAGGAAAAGAAAAGGTGTCATTTGGCAATGATTCCCCCAGGAACCTTATCTTCATAGAAGGGAGTAGGCTTAAGTGGCCAGGACAGGGGCTATTTGGTCAAGGAGATCCTCTTTCTCTCCCTCCCCCCAGCTGTCACAGCCACAACAACATGGAGGGTGGCTTGCTGGAGGCCCTGGAGGCCCTCCCCACATCCAACTAGGGGTGGGATAGGCTTTGTCACCGTCAAGAAAAAAGTGGGGTTCTGCGAGGGACCAGAAAAAATGAACAGGGGTCTCTAGTTTAAAACACCCAGAGCTCCTGACCACTTACAAGAAGGGCCCATGAGCAGGCTACTCTCTTCCTAATATAGAAAGGAATTAGGGATAAAGGAGGTCACTTGAGTTACCCCAGTTCAAGAAGCACCGTGAGGGGAAGAGAATGGAGGCATCTCAAGAAAAGGGAGAAAGGCTTCCTTCACTCTCGGGAATTTCTACCTCGAGTTCCTAAATCAAGGGCAAGCAAAAGGAAAGAGACCCTGGAGGTGGGCTTAGTGGAGAAGAGAGCCTATCTTGCAAAAAATTAAAAAAATTAAAAATAAAAAAGCCTTCTTGGGAGTCCAAACGTCGTGGAGCAAAGTCACGGGCACTGGGGGGTTGCAGGCAGAGCGAGGAGCAACGCACATTTCGGGGTTCTGCAGATAAAGGGGGAGCCGAGAGGGCCCTCGGTTCCTGGGAGGTGCCAAGGAGCCGCCGTAGGCACTGGGGGCAGGGAGGGGAGGGAGCGAGCCCGGACAGTGGCCTGGAGCGCCCCAGGGCCCTTGTGTTGGGTTTCAGGGGTGCCCCGGGCACCGCCGCGCCGCCCGCTACCGACAGCCGGGACCCCCCTCCACGAAGGATACAGCTTGACCACGTCCGTGTCCATCCGCCGCTTGCCCGGGCTGGGGGATGACATGGTGTCGCCGCTGCCTCCCCGTCGCCTGCGCCGCCGCCGCCGCCGCCGCCGCCTCTCTTCCTTCCCCCGCCGTCTGTCACGGGCCCCGGGCCCCGGCTCTGAGGAGCCCGCGGCCGCGCCGGCTCCCCGGTGGAGGCGGAAACACCCCCGCGGTCCCGTCGGGGCCAGTCAGCCGCCGCCGCGCCCCCCGCTCGGGGGAACACCGGGCACGGTCCGGCCGAGTGGGGGTGGGGACCCCGCGGCGCCCGGCTCGGGCTGCTCCTCTCCGGCGGTGGCTCCGCCGCGGCCCGGCCCCGGCCCCGGCGCTCCGCGGCGCCGCGCGACGCTCCCTCCTGCCCGCTCCTGCTCTCCGGTCCGCTCGCCGCTCACCCTCCCGCCGGCTCCCCAGCAGCCTCCGAGACCAGCAGCAGGCGACTCCGGCTCCGTCGGCCTCTCTACCCCGGCCTCGCTCTGGGCGCCGTGACGTCACCTCTGTGACGTCATCGGCGGGGGCGGTCCCGCGGGCGAAAGGGGTGGGCCGCCGCCGCAACGTGGACTTCCTTGGGGGGAGGGGGATTCTGGGAGATGTAGTTCCTCTTTCTCCTGCCTTCCACAGCCCTCTGCCCCCTCCCTCCCCCTCCTACTTCCTCACACACTTAATCGCTCAACTGCCAGGGTCGTTACCAGCATCGTCAACGATAAGAGTAAATAATAGCAATAATATTTATATTCGTGCGTTTTAGGGTAACGAACCCCTTTCTCACAGACACTATTAAAAAGTCTGTTTATTTGATTTAAGGAGGCCAAGATGGCAATGACTCAAGGCACCAAAATCTGGAAGATTACCACACCAGCAGGTTCCCTGCACTCTGCACCCTCCTTGGATGGAGGGTATTACTTTGCTGAGATTGTGGACTGTAGCCAGGCTTCCTCAGAGCTTGCAAACCAGGGTTCATTACCCTCCATGTGTATAGAACCACTATTTTAAGGATTAGATTTGAGGCACCAAGGTGACAAAGCCAAAAATAATTCAGCACTCACATCCTTACTCCACAGAGTATGACGGAATAACTGATAGAAACAGGAACACCTTAAATAGGCTGTGGTTCAGGACAAAGATAGTCTGCTCTCCAAACTCCTACACCAACCCTAGTACTCTGTCATTCATTCAATATTTATTGAGCACCTACTGTGTACTAATTACTCTGCTGGACATAAGGAAATCATGATAAACTAAGAATTGACTAAGTTTACGCAACCCTCCCAATATAGTCTGTGGATCTAGTGTCAGCATCACCTGGAACTTGTTAGAAATGCAAGCTGGCGGCACAGGCCCTGGAGCTCAGCTGGTTAAAGCATCATCCTCATATTCCAAGGTTATGGGTTCAATTCCCAGCTGGCCAGGTACACACCTGGGCTGTGTGTTCAATCCCCAGTTGTGGTATGCTTAGAACGGAACCAATCAATGTTTCCCTCTCACATTGAATAGTTTTTTTCTCTCTCAAATCAATAAATGAAAAGAAGTGCAGACTAGAACTTTACCTCAGACCTACTGCATTAAAATATGCAGCTTAACAAGGTCCACAGGTGATTTTATGCTCAATGAAGTGTGAGAGACACTTCAAGGCATTCCAAAAAGTGATTAAGTGATATGGAATCCAGAAGACAACCAAGCAAAGGGGGAAGGAAAGAGTGCTCTAGATATCTCTCTCCCTCTCTCTTTCTTTCCACTGCCATCAATTTTCAAAATTTTTATCTATGAATCCATTTTTTGTTTAAATCCTCACCCAAGGATATTTATTTATTTATTTATTTATTTATTTATTAGCGTAGAAGAGAGAGGAAGAGACAGAGAGAAATATCCATGTGAGAGAAACACATTGATTGGTTGCCACCTGCAAGAGCCGTGACCAGGGCCCAGGGCCAGGGAGGAGCCTGTCCCCTTGACCGAAAACGAACCCTGGACCCTTCAGTCGGCAGGCCAACACTCTATCCACTGAGCCTAACCAGCCAGGGCTCTATGAACCATTTTTAAATATATATATATTTTATTGATTTTTTTTACAGAGAAGAAAGGAGAGGGATAGAGAGTTAGAAACATCGATGAGAGAGAGACATCGATCAGCTGCCTACTGCACACCTCCTACTGGGGATGTGCCCGCAACCACGGTACATGCCCTTGACTGGAATTGAACCTGGGACCTTTCAGTCCTCAGGCTGACGCTCTATCCACTGAGCCAAACCAGTCTCGGCTGAACCATTTTTATTTTGTCAGTTTCCTTACTAACCTCACACACATGCACATGCACACGTACATGCATCTAGGCAGCAGCAAGCAATCAGCTAAAATTGAATGTTATTTGCTCTTGTCATTACATCCCTAAAAAAGACTGGCTAATTTGTGCGTGTGTGAGTGTGTGTGAGTGTGTGTGTGTGTGTGTGTGTGTGTGTGTGTTAAATATATATAACATAAAATTTGCCATTCTAACAATTTTTTAAACAATCTTTATTTTTGTATTTTTTTAATATATCTTTATTGATTTTAAAGAGGAAGGGAGAAGAAGAGAGAGATAGAAACATCAATGATGAGAGAGAATCCTTGATTGGCTGTCTCCTGCACATCCCCCACTGGAGATCAAGCCTGCAATCCGGACATGTGCCCTTCCTTGACCTGAATTGAACCTGGGACCCTTCAGGCCATAGGCATGCTCTATCCACTGAGCCAAACCAGCTAGGGCCATTCTAACAGTTTTGAAGTGTACACACAGTAGCATTAAACACATACACTATGATGTGCAACCATCACTACCATTCATTTCCAGAACTCTTTTTATCATCCCCAAACAGAAACTCTGTTCCTATTAAGCAGTAACTCCTCATACATTCCTCACTCCCCTCAGTCCCTAGTACTTTCTATTATACCTTCTGAAAAATATGGGCTATTTTAACTGCTTCTAAAAGGGGTGCATTCGTCTTCCGTACTGCACATGGCAATTCTGTCAGAAGAAGGACATGCCTGAATGAAGGGATTTGTAAGCCTTTATACAACCCCTTTGTTAAAGGAAGATAGGGATGGAGCAGAAAATTGTTCCTGACTGTTCTCTAGGATCTTCAGGCTCCTGTGGCTGCTACCTCCTCTCCCAGCTGGGCTCCCCACTCTCCTTCACCTGTAACTCCCACCCCCGTGCTGAGACAATGCCTCATGAGCTTTGGTGTACTTCAGAATCACCTGGGGAGCTTGTCAAGTTCACAGGTGAGCAGGCCCCACCTCTGGGATTCTGATTCAGAAGGTCTAGGCGGCGCTGGACATCCATGCCTTTAACAAGCTCCCAGGTGATTCTGATGCAGGCCAAAGTTTGAGAATCACAGCTTTCGGCATTAGCATTTTCAAAACACCTGTCTCGTCGAGGTGGCTCCTGTGCTTCCATCATGTCCTATGCAAATAAGGGTGCTTCTTCCCCACTGGAGAGCGAGACGGCAAGCTTAGGGGGCCCACAGGTGTTGTTTCCAGAATAGAAAGAATTGGTCAAGGATGGGACACTGAGAAAGAAGGGCATGGGGTGGATCTAGAAGTTTCCCCTGCTGCTTTCATCTTCACAGATGCTATGCTGCTGTGATCCAAGTATCAAGCAAAACTAATCCAAGAACTTTTAGTTGGGGAAACTTGTTTTGGGCAACACTGGAGAAGTTAGGGTCCCTCTGCCTAGAAACGCAGTGCAGGTTTAGCGCTCTGAACAGCTATTGAAAATGAATCACCCTCCCCAGCGTGTCTAATGAGCATGGTAGCTCTGGGTTACTTAGGACAAACCTGTCCCTCCCCAGCTGTTAATTATCCCTCAGCTAATTGCATATATCCTCCTGGAGCCTCAATTTTCTCATCTGTAAAATGTGGTTCATAACTTGCGTGGGCTGACGGAGGAAATCAAAAAAGCCCCTCGTAAACTATAAATTGCTTTTCATAAAGTTAACATGAAGCGTTCATTACAAGGTGTAATACAATATTGGTGGCGGTATTGTTGTATTATTAATATCAACCCTCCCCATATGCCCCATTCCTTATACGCTGTATATTATTTAAGGAAAATGGCATTCATGTTTTGGGGAGAGGGGTATTTTTTAAAGATATCATAGGGTCAATGTCTCCTCTTTTTGAAGGTATGTTCACATTTTATGATATGCCTGTTTCTCTCCGGGCCTTCTGCCATTTGCTTCTTCATAAATCCATCTTCCCTCTTCCGACTCCCCGCCCTGCCTCCGTCCCCTCCTCTTTCCGGAGTGTGAGGTTTCCGGAACCCTGCCCTTGGCCAGGTAGGTTCCAGAGATGGCTCCAACTGGGGCCAAATGACACCAAATGGTTTTACCTGTTTGGGGCTTATGAAACCTGGAGCTTCTCTTGAACGAAGTGTGTGCTCACCTTTCTCCTCGATGTTCATCCATTCAGAATGTCAACAATGTGCTCTAAAACAACACGGGGCCTGGAGTGCCTGTTTACATGTGCGCGCACATGGCTGCGCGCTGGCAGGAGCCACGCTCTTCCTTATCAGGAACAACCAGGGGCACCGCGAGGGAGCAGCTGTCCGGCCTGCCTGACTCACCAGTGTTGCAATCTGGAAAACATATTCGGGCCTGTTTATCTCTCCCCAGGGCAGGGCCAAGCTTGACCCGCAGCGCCTCCGGTCTCAGGAGCAGCTTCTTAAAGGCAAGAAAAGGAGTTTGAGCGAGACGAAACCAATCATTTGCAGAGTGGAAGAGCCCAGCCCAGGAGCTGCTGTCTCTGAGGGGACCTGCGAACCCAATGGCACGGTCCCCACTCCGTGGGAAAGTCCCCCCAATGAGGCCTTCTGCTTCCACTCGATCATTTCTAGTGGGAAGTAATTTCATCTGAGCTGGCATTCTTGGCACCTAACATCTCGCACGGGTCCAGAACCCTCTATGGGTATCAGCAGTTTCCTCGCTGCGATAGAAATAAAAGCTTAAAACTCATTTCAAGCTATCTCCATGTTACCCTGCTACAATCTGTTCCTACAGAGGCAGTCACTGGGAGCACAGGCACACGAGGGCCGCCCAGCAGCACGGATGCAGAGATTTCACCTCCTGCTTCGCTGTCATGTCCCCATGTCTTTGCTGCCTCTGCAGCAGGTTCCTGGGGCAGACACCAACCCCCAAAGCAGCACGATTCAACCCCCAAAGAGCTTGAAACTTAGAGACAGAAAACTCCTTCCAGTCCCAAGTCAGCTGCTACCTATCACTGATGTGCAGGCAAACCTCGGAGATGATGTGAGTTCGGTTCCAGACTCCTGCCATAAAGGGAGGATCGCAATAAAGCAAGCTGTCATCTTTTTTTGCTGCTGGAGCGTCTTGCCTTTCGTTTGTAAAAAATGCAACATCCACCCTGGTAGGCGTGGTTCAGTGGTTAGAGCATCAGCCCACGCACTGGAGAGTCTTGGGTTCGATTCTTGATCAAGGGCATGTTCTTGGG